GACGAGGAGGCTAGCCAGGAGGAGATGGCGACTCGCTTTGAGAGGGAGAAGACGGAGAGCATGCTGGTGGTCACGGCGGAGGACGAGGAATGTGTTCCCTCCAGAGACATCTCCCGACACTTTGAGACCCCAGCTACGGCTACAAGGACTTCTCCAGGAGGGGGGAGCATGTGCCCACATTCAGAGTGCAGGTAGAGATAAAAAAAAAACAGGCTGATATAGAGTACAGTTTTGTAATACATGTTTTTTTTTATAGCTGTTATTTACTTCTTATTCTCTTTTTCTCTAGGACTACAGTTGGGAGGATCACGGTTTCTCTCTGGTCAACAGACTGTACCCGGATGTTGGTCAGATGCTGGACGAGAAGTTCCAGATGGCCTACAATCTGACCTACAACACCATGGCAACACATAAGGATGTGGACACCAGCATGCTGCGCAGGGCCATCTGGAACTACATCCACTGCATGTTTGGCATCAGGTCAGTCGCTAGAAACTTTGTCCTGTTGTATGATGTAACCATTACTTTGCCTCTCTTTTCCCTAACGCTGTTTCTCTGTATTCATCAGGTATGATGACTATGATTACGGGAGATTAACCAGCTTCTGGACCGTAGCTTTAAGATCTATATTAAGACCATGGTGTGTAGTCCTGAGAAGACCACCAAACGAATGTATGAGAGCTTCTGGAGGCAGTTTCAGCACTCCGAGAAGGTAAGATCCTGATATCCTCTCCTGGCCTGGTCCGTAGCAGCTATCTTAATTGATTAACGTACAGTGTTTCATAACTGTCCCCTTTTCTCTCCTTTCTCCTGCAGGTCCACGTTAATCTGCTTCTAATGGAAGCGCGAATGCAGGCAGAACTGTTATACGCTCTGAGAGCGATCACCCGCTACATGACATGAAGTGCTTTTGGCGTTTTTATCGTTGTCTTTTTACTGTCATTGTTGTTGCTCACTATGGGACACTTCAAAGAGAAGAGAGGAAGGTGAAAAAAAAAAAAAAAAAAGGAAAATCAAAGGGGGCGGGGGGTGGGTGACGGGGATACAACAAAAATGTGCAAGAGAGATGAGATGGCCTGGGTTTTGACGGTGCTTGTCGGATGGATGTTGAGAAGAGGATCAGAACAAATGAAGAAAAAAAAGAAAAAAAAGAGAGAAATGTTGAAGAAAGTCATCTCAAACTACAAGTGGATACTCCACAGATTGTGTTGCCTGCAGTGCCAAAACTGTCCATGAGAGGGCAGCCTGGAGCAAACTACTGCGCTGCTGGGGAGTTTGTGTCCGGCCTGAGCACTGATACCAGAGGCATCCAGGTCGACAGTTCAGTATTCCAGCATGCAACACGTTTGTTGCCAATCTCTTTGGCCCCCTGGCAGAGTGAAGACTCACAAAAACCACCCAGAAAGCTATGCAGCCAGAAACAGTCTGCATTTTGATTCTGTTGTCACTGTTATATTTGTTTAGTTTCTTTATTTTTTAAGGGAAGAGGATGTTGTTGTCGATGTGGTTGCTGTTAGTAGTAACTGGAGATGGAATCATTAACTTTGGGCAGTGTTTTTTTGTTTGTTTGTTTTTTTTTACGTGTGCCTGAACTATCCAGCACAGTGTGCGTGATGTGCTGATGCTGCTGCTCCAATGTTGTATCCAGCGGGGTCATATTGATCCCTAAATCACCCACCCCAACCCCATTACGTCCCCCTAAGCCCCTATCCATTTGAAATCCATTGCATTACCCCCCTCCCACTTGTCCTCTACCCCCTATCCCAAATCTCAAACGTCAATGTAAGCTAATCCAAGGAGTGTGTGGAAATTGGAGAGATGTGGAAAGAAACTCAAAGAACACTGAGCCCTTTTTGAGTTTGACTGTACACGTGTGGATGAGTTGACTGAGGTGTGTGTGTGTGTGTGTTTCACAGAAATGACGGAGGGGAAAAAAGTCTTCTTTGAATTTCATGTGTCAAAAAAAGCGAGGCACTTTGAAGGGAAGACTTCTTGCTTCTGCTGTAGCTCTGTTATTGTGAGGTAACTGTTTATCATTTATTGTTGAGGATGTCTTTATTTTCCTGGGGAGAAAAAAAGCTAATAAAAAAAGAAAGTTGGAAACCAGGTTTTCCAGGAGGGATTTGCTTCCGGTTGCCCTAACCACACCTTTTCTGTCTTCCGCTTATCCCAGCTGCCTGGTCACCCTAACACTTTCAAAGCTTTGGATTGTGAATTTTACCAGTAATGAATACCTCTTCTGTTTTTCTCTTGAAAACATATAAGAAGTGCTCTTTGGTGAGCAGAGACTCTTTCTGGGCTGCCATGTTCCCATTTCTCTGGGACCTGGCTAGCCCACACAGGGCCGACTGCGGTTGACAGTTGTCAAACGCAAAAGGTTGTAGCTGTGCTTATATCCCTGCTGGGGAAGTCTAACCAGCGCAAAAGCCGCTTTTGTGTTTTTGTTGTTTTAAAAAAAAAAAAAAAAGTTTTGTTTTTTTGTTTACTAAAACCAGTTGTGTACTGCATTCTTCTGAGGGTGGATTGAGAGAATAAGACAGATGAATGAGTGATACCTGGAGGAGGGAGGTGGTGATGATGATGATAAAAGAATGGTACATTTGGAAGTGATTTGAGAGAAAGTGGAGATTTTTTTTTCCAAACTTCTGACTGATGTCAGTTACTGACACTTTTTTTTATATGAAAATATATATATATAAAAAAAAAAGACGAGAAATAAACTATCATATTGAATTGTTGTGTATCATTCGTAGTTTTCTCCTAAACAATTTGAATGCATTGCTTCATCAAAGAAATTGTACTCAATTTGGAGAGGCCTACACAATTCATCAACGGTCACTGCACAATCAGTATCACCATCGGCTCACTTCCACTGCTCAGTTGCACAAGTATAACCCATGGTAATTAGTAAGCATATTTGAATGCTGCTATGCAAAAGGTGACTCATGAAAAGACATGGAGTGTTTATTCAATCACCTTATGTTCCAAAGTACTCTCAGCTCTTTGATAATAAAGCTGACTTCATCAACAGTAAGCTGAACTCAGGGGAACAGTTCAGTTTGTCATCAGTACGGTCCATGGACTTTCATGTGAATTTCATTTTACTGTACAAGCTTGAGATCTGTATGACTCAGGGAACCAAATAATGGTCCCTGTTCCTGTGGTGCGTTCAAGGTCAAGGTTTCTCTTTGCTCCCGACCTACATTTGGCTCGAGATAAGGGGGGATTCCTTGTAGGACACCATACCTCTCTTTCCTGTTTGCCCCCATGCCACTCCTCCCTGGGAAAATCCTTGACTTCCCCGGTGAGGCTGGTAATCCTCAAAAAAAAAACTTCAGGGTGTTTTCCACAGAGGCCAATCTGTCAATTCTCAATTGCCAGGAGAAACCCTCCACCACACTGCCTTCACATTTTGGTGGCTTTCCCAGACAATACTTGGGATAGGAAACATTTACTAAGCAACCTTCAATATCAGCCAGCCAACTGTCTTTCATATCAACCTGATAAATTCTATGTAGAGAACAATGTTTGTTATTAGCACTGGCCAATGCGTTGTTTAGGGGTTTTTGAAACATCAGCTTGTCTTGTGGTTGTTTTAAGGTCACTATTGTGTGAAAACTGGGAGAACTGACACCGCGGTTCCTGATTTGTTTCAATGTAATAACGATGTGTTTTTGAAATGCTGTACTTTAGGCTACTTGCTGTAACTTGTAAGCCATGCCTGGCCCCATATATGTGTAACAATAAAGGCTTTGAGAAGCAAAACTGTTCTGCTTTATTATGTACAAGTTCCAATGTCACACAATCCACAGACAACAAAAGCTTTCCTTATGAGAGCCACTCCATGCCAGTCATCTGTTATCAAGACATCATTGTCATAAAATAACCTTTAAAACACAGATGAGTCTGTTACATAAATGTGCAAAGAGCTTGTTTTAAATTATCCCTGTACATGTGAGGATACCCAGAAATAAGGCTTCTGCAAACTATGGGAATTAAAGTGCATTTAAAGGGGAAAATTGTTACAAAAATGCATTGCATTAAATGCAATAAATACATGACATGAAATGCATAGAACTGAGAATATCTTCATATGCTTACATTTTACTATTTATACAAATTGCTGCAAATATTTTGCATGATGACCTTTATTAGCCTATTGTTTTGAATATGATACACTGACCATCTGTATGTCTTAAAACTAGCTGCAAAAACAAAATAGTCAGCTTAAATCTCAAGTATTTAGCTATAACTGAGCAAATGTATGACCATTTGAAACATACTTGAGCATATGGATGGACAGGGGAGGGAAAAGTGATCAATGCTTCAGCAGTGAGTTGAGATGTTTTTAAGGATGTTTTGATTTTTTTCTGCCCTGAATATCCAACAACAGAATCCACTGTAACTGACTGACTCAATCCAACCACACCTGCTTTATCCATTAAAAAAGAAAAATACAAACATTCACAGCCACCTGTAAGCGTTTAATAGTTATATTATGGACTCTGGGTTAAATATTAAAAAAATAAAAAATCTAAGGTTTCTATCACAACATGAAACTCTTAACTTCATGTCCCAGTTTGTCAAGCTGTACGGTCTGGAGGCTGGAGCGTCTTCATCAGTTTTTGAGCTACAGGGAGGAACTCTAACTCCCAGCATGCCCTGTGGAAGTCCCTCATATCTTCATCTTCTATCCACTTCAAAGCCTCTTCTTTGTCTAAGGAATGAATTAAAACCAGTGGGCAAAGGATGAGAGAGGATAGTTGGAAGTTTCAGGTTTATTTTGAATACTTTTCAGTGACAGGTTTTCAATTCTGGCACCTCCAACATCTGACGGAGGTATTATGTTCGTGAAAGTGGGGGATGTGTGTGTCCCTCCCTTCCCCCTGAGGGCCACTGATGTGAATAAGAGCATGTTCTTTCCAGCATGAATCCCTCCCTTGTTATGTAAGGATTAGGAATAACACTGCTGCACCAACCTAAGTATGTAGTGAGGATCTCCAACAGTGACTCTCCCTCCTGTGTGTCCAGCAGTTTCTCAGAGCCGCCGCCAATCATGTTCCACAGCGCCTGACAGACCTGGCCCGCCAACTGCCAATCACCTGGTCCAAAGTCTTTCAAACAGTCCACGAGCCTGGTCACACACACATCACACATACATAAATCGTATGACTCAAGGGAGGAGGGATTCACATGACTGGTGGGTTTGTGGCCATTAGCTCCACTTCATTGGACCGACATCTGAAAGAGGATTGTGTGTGTGTGTGTGTTTGTAAAGGGGAAATAAGGACTTAAATGTTAAAGCAGTGCTGGAGGGAAGCTTACACTATAGATAGAGGGTCACATAATTTGTTCCATTTCGAGTTCCCATGTCTTCAAATTGTAGAAATGAATCTAAATTGACAGTAATTATAACCACTGTGAACAAATTACATCAAGGTTGAGATGATTAGTAGCATCTTGATCATGCCTGTGGAGTTGTTGTGCTCATGTTTGTCAGAATGAAGACAATATTTCCCCCCAAAAACCCTGTTTACTCCTCGTTGCAAAGAGGATGCTATGTTTGCCAAAAACTCAGAGAGGTTTAGGCCAGTTTGCTATTAATTAATCTATTTTTTGCCTTTATGTGATAGAACAGCTGAAGAGAGAGACAGGAAATGTGGGAGAGAGAGACGGGATGACATGTAGAAAAGGACAGCAGGCTGGAACCGAACCCAGGACTCTACGCTAAGGACTTAGAATTTGAATATGGTGAGGGTGCTCTGACAGGTGAGCTAACCAGTGCCCTAATTACTGTTTTTATGTACATCATATACATATATACACACACACACACACACACACACACACACACACACACACACACACACACACACACACACACACACAAACAAACTCTTAATATCTAAGTGCATTTGTCCTTACTTGGCAGCAGCCCCCTCTAGTGAGAGACTGACCCTGTTGGGGGGGTCCAGAGCCAGGTTGGTGAGGACCCCGCAGGCTGAAAAACACATCTCTGTGCTTTGTGAGTCCAGCAGCGTCACTAAAAACTGGTGCACTGAGGGAGAGAGAGAGAGAGAGAGACGGAGAAAGATGACAGCGTGATGGAGGACAAAGCAGGGCAAAGATAAGAAAGCTTCTATCACCAGAGTCAGCAGGCATGTTTATACTGACTGTAGCTGGCCTTGCAGATAAGTCCAGCCTACACATGACAGTACAGTGTGCAGAGGTGGATACTGTACTGGATGTTCTGTGTCTGAGTGCTAATTTTTCTTTAAAGTTGTGTGCTTGGATGACATTATTAATGCATCGTTACATAAGCCTTTTTTTCATTCTACGCTTTTGTTTCTAACATGGCATCTCTTGGCCAACATTCCTGCAAGAGCCAATGAATACTGTGTGAAATAGGTACAGTCTCATGTTGGAGGGTTTTGTGTGTACTGGTTGGTGTTTGTGTCCATCATATACCTTTGTTTTGCATAATAAAGTCCCGTACATCCTTGGACTGAGACAAATTTCCATACACACGGGTGGCCTCAAGCATGGCGTCCATACTGGAGCTGAGCACCAACTTCAGCATCACTGAAGTACAAAGAAAGAGTGAGCAGAGGAATCGGCAAACCAGACAAACAGTAACACACTCTCATTGTTTTTTATTTTTCACGTCTGCATTTAGATCGGTCAGCCTTACACTTTGCGATGTTGAGCTGACTGTGTGTAAGTATAGAGCTTTCTTCCTGGTAGAAGGACAGGTTGTTGATGGTGGCGGCCACATTCACCAAAAGCTCCTCGCTATCCTGCACAGACCTCAGCTCTGAGTCACCAGCACACAAACACACAAAAGAAAGGAAGAAAATAATCATATATCATGTAACCCTGACTTAGCATTACTTTTAAAAGAGATCTTTAAGTAGATGTTTCTTTTTCCTTTAAAACAAAGCCAACAGAGGGGGAATCCACACTGCATGGTCCACGACTCATTTATGTGAAGTGACCCTGATTCTGGTGTCTAGTCTCAACATAAGATGAGAAAATAAAAATTCAACTTTTCATTGTCTTGCACTGCATATACTCACTCAAAATAAACTGCTCTTTCCGTGATAATGACTAACCAGGTGAATACAGGTGAAAGCTGTGCGTCAGTTCGTGTTGATGAGGGGAAGAAGATAAAGTAAAGGTAGATATTAATTAGATTAGATTATTAATAAAACAACTGCACCATGGATTGTGTAAACTGGGTGGCACTCAGTATTAAGATGTTGGTTCATATTTCCATATGCAGTGCAGATGTAAATAGATATGCATGAAAACGTAGAGATAAATAGAACAATTATAGAATAATTTAGATAAGATAAACACATGCAGAAATACAGTGAACTGGGTTTTCAGCCTTTTTGCATATTACAGCTCAATCACACTGATGTGACACTGTGACATTATCATAAAAGTAGCTGTTATCTGTTGTTAATTTTGGCCTCATGAGCCGGCATACAAAGGTCAATATGACCCAATCCAACCAGCGATGACACTGTGAGCTGCTTGGTAACAGAGTCTGTTCCTGATATAGCAGCTGACGTCGTGTGCTCGGTCATAAATCGCGGATATTGTGGTCGGTGTCAAGCAGCGCCTGTGCCCCCATCTGTAATGTAAAGCAGCACAGCTTGATCAAAACAGGACATCGATCAGCCAAGTGTGCTCTTTCATCTTGTACTGTTGTTTCCACCTGTCACACCAAACCCATATTCATTGGCTCATTTTATGTTTCTGTCTACAGTTACTTAATTTATTTCCCATCTTACCCTCTGGTACCAATCAAACACCCCTCTATGTTTTGAGATTCTAAAATTGTTCCACTAGTTTGACCTCTGTTTTGTTTGTTTAATTTTCCCACCCAACTGCCATGAAACGTGTGTAGGAGGCAGGCAGCAGAGAAATCGAGAGTTTCACACCCACCTGTGTGTCAGTTCAATCTGTCCTTAAACCATCTAACCACATGGGAGAATTTCACACGCACAAACCAAGTCGGCTGTGAGATGTGACAGAACATCCTGCTCATGCAGTGAAGCGCTTAGGTAAACCAAAAGAGGATGTGCTGCGTATCGAACAGGCAGCACTGAGAGGAAAGCGAGCGATGGAATGAAACGACAAATGAGGAGTGTGTTTTCGACCAAAGTCATGTCTTAATGTTTCCAGCACAAGGGAAGTGGTTTGGTGCCTAGCAGATACATACTGTATGTACAGTTCAGCAAACAGCTATTTTTACACCAGATATTCACACTCTGCTTCCTTTGTACGACAGAAATGGGCAAAAAGGACAAATGTAGAAATGCTACGACTGTAAATCTGCTATTGGCTGTATCTTCTATTTCTTAATAAATGATTTTGTTAAGCAAAGACTAACTTAAAAAGGATGAGTTCCTCCTGCTCTCTGCTCACCGATTGTCTCCATGAGCAGCTGAATGCAGCTTGTGTTGGTAACCAGAGCTGGACCTACAGCTGGGTGGATGCACATGTTCGCCAGCACCCTGACCAGCTTCACCAGCACATCCTCGTCCTCCTGCACATTCAGTGGAGGTGCAGGACGCTTGCTGGAGGAAGGGGGACCTTTCTGTGCGGGCGAGACGTCTCTGCGCTGGTAGCTGTCGTATAGCTGCAGGAGTGTGTCCATGCAGGCCTTGCACTGGAAGAGCTGCTGCCGAGCCTCATCACTTTTGGCTGTGAGATTCCCGAGGGTGAAAAGAAGGCGCACAACAAGGTCCTGTGGG